GTAGCGCTGCTCGATCTCGAGGACCTGCTTGACCTTGCGCTCACGCTCGCGCTGCTTCTTGCCGGCGGAGCCGGGGATGAACTCCTCAGTCTCCTCCTTCTTGATGGGCTTGGCGTTGGCCCACTTCTTGTCCTCAACGACACCCTCGTTGGCCTTGCGGACCTTGAGAGCGGCCTCGGCCTCGAGAGCGGCCTTCTTCTCGGCGAGCTGGGTGAGGTACTCGGTGTAGGAGACGTGCTTCTCCTCCTCCTCCTCGGGGGTAGCCTCAACGGCGGCCTCGCCCTCAGCGGCGGCCTCCTTCTGCTCAGACTTGGCGATCTCCTCACCAGCCTGCTCATCCTTCAGCTCAGCCTGGCCCTCGGTGGCGCCCCAGGACTGGGCAGCCTGCTTCTCGGAACCGCTAGATATGGTGTCAGTGGACGGAGGAGCCTGTGGCTAGAATATGTGTGACCGGGACATACGAAGCAATGTTCTTGGAGTGGCGATCGTCGGAGGTGCGGGGGTGACGGCCACCGCGACCACCACGGACGCGGGCATTAGCACCGCCGCGGGGGCCACGAGCGGCACCCTCCTCAGTGGGCTTGCCACGGTTGCGTTCGCTGCCGGCGGTGCGGTCGCGGAAAGCTAGGGTCGAGTGTCAGTTTGAGCGTCTAGGCACGATTGGGCATGTTAGATGGTAAACATACCAGCCTCGTTGCCGGTCACGTTAGAGCGACGACCGGTGCCCTGGGCAGGAGCAGCCTTGCTGGGAGCGACGCCATCGGTGTTGCGCTTAGCAGTGTGGGTCGATGTCTTCTCGACGATCTTAGCAGGGGCGGCGGGAGCGGAGTTATCCTCCACGTCGTTGCCTGAATGAGCGCAATCGGTCTGTCAGTATTGGTGGTTCCTTTGGATTGCGGTTTCGATGTTCCTCCTCGTCCTGCCATTTTCGTGGGTGCCGTCGCCTGGCTGGGTATTTCACAGGAGGATGGATGGGTAACCAACCGAGCAGATCGAACAGGTTCTGTGGGGGAAAACACGCAATCGGTCAGTTTCTTATTGTCTTGAGCTCTGATTTTCCGTCATGGTAGTTGTCTGCTGCTCGCTGTGCGCCTGGATTTTCATTCTCCAGCTTCTCCTCCTCTTTCGGGTCCCAAATTTGTCGCAGAAAGCCAGTGTTGGCAGACTCGCTTGAAACAAAATTGAAGCTCTCTCAGTTTCGTTTCACGACGAGGTGCAAGGTCCAGTTTATCCACTGCACAGCACAGCACACAGCTCTGGGCCGACCGTAGAACCGGCCATATCGGGGATTGACGGGAGGAAGATAAACACACCTTGGAAGCGACCGACATCTTTGCGCTTGACAGGACGTTGGCCTGACTCAATGCGCTTCTTCTAGACGGGGTTGGGTAGGGGGGCGGACGACAGCGACAACGACGTGTGATGCTCGCTGTGGTGTCGTAAAAGATTTTGGCAAATCGCTCCCGGGCCACAGGGAGCTCGGACCAGTTTTGGCAGTGGCACGGATCACATGGACGCTCGTGCCCTGCGAACCTTCACCAAAACCCCCCCTCCAAGGCCCTGCCTGGCCCTCCTGCCGCTGTTCCCCGCTTCCAACTTTGGCCGACGTTTTGGCTTTTTGGTGAAATTTCAGTGCGCCGCTGTTATTTGGTGGTTAGGGCTACCACTTTTGGACGCTGCCTGCCCTTTTTTACCGATGTGACGTGCGTATCAATCCGTACAAGTCGTAACTTTGGCAGCTTGAGCTCTGCTACCAATCCGGCAAGTCTTGGCAGACTGTTTGTGCCCTTGACATCATCGTCACCAACGTAGACAATCGACTGGAGTCTGGAGCAGCTTCGTCACCGACCAACACCGGACGGCAGCTGCCGCCTCAAATGTCAGGTTGCCGCATTCGGTCAATGTGACAGCCTTCTGTGAGATCGGACCTACCTTATCCACCCCAGAGCTCCTGAAAATGGGCTTCATATCAAGAACAAGGCATAGGCACATTGCCATCGTGCTGCTAGATATCGGCTGTCATGTCCCTTTGGGGAGGATTACTTTGACTGCTGTGCCTGACACTTCCCGACAAGTGTTGGAGCGAGGTATTACGGTCCACTTGGCTCGAGCTTGGGCAGTTTGACAAGGTGACAATATCTGTTGCATCCCTTGATCGTTCCAAGATATTCTGGACACTCTGCCATATGCCATGATACATCTTAACAGTCAAACTAGTATCAGCTGTTGCTCAAACCTTATCTGTTTGTTGATCAAACCAATAACTTGCAAACAAAGCCACGACAGACACATAACTCTGGTAGTCAATCCAAACAACACTTATACACGAAACCCTCGCTTTCAGGCTTGTTAGGTCAGAGAGTCTGTTGTGAGGTATCATCAAAGATCACATGCTGGACACCATGTTGCTCCCTTTACCTCCCTCAACTCCATGACGGACAATTCTTGCAAACTCCTCGTTTTTCCAGCATTTATGATTGTCTTTCGTTTGAAGAACCAGAGAAAGAACATCACCAGTCATCTTCGATCAAGGCTCACACGGGCAAAAGACTCCTTCATCCAAACCGAAAGTACGAGACCGGCAAGTGAATGCAGTATTGACGAACTGGCAAGGTAGGAAGCGGTTGCACGAGCATAACCAATCTACTTGGGTACTTACTACCTTGCTCTTCGCATTATCGTCTCCCTGTTGTTTCTCTCCGTCCTCGTTACCCTCTTGGAAGGTATCTCATGGTCTCCAGCCCTCTCCAGTGGCAGCAGAAGAGGGTAATGGAGAAGACCGAGATTATTACCGGCGAAGCACACCCGCTACAGGCCCTTGCTCGAGCCATGCCACTCCGAAGTCAGCTACGAAATTCCTGTTGTACCCGACTCTTTCATCAGCTTACTGCAAATCCAGCTCCAGAACGAGGCCAACAAGTGGTGAGTGAGACGGCGTTGACCTGTCCACCGAGGCCTGGGGAGGTCCCCATTGAAGAAGGAAGACGAGCAAACAGGAGGGTAGCGTCAACGCGAAGAAGCCCACCACTTCAGGAGTTATCTTTCTAGAGAGGTGGTTGCCGAATCTTCTAGCCTATGTTCCCTTTGAGCTTATTTACGACCCCTTCCTGCAAAATGGGGAGATTTTCTATCTGTTCTTGTCAACAAAGTGTTGCCTCTCCACACAGATGATGGAAAGTATTTTGAGTTCAATTTGAGGGCATGCTTCGAAAGCGCGCGAGTGTGCTCTGAGAAGCAAGAAATTCAGGAGAGAGAATTTGAATATCCAATCCTTGGATGCATTGAAATGGAGCGGCATCTAGCATGGTGTCCTCGGGCTGCTTCACTTGGTCTGAACCCCTATGTCTACGACGGTAGAAAGCAACTCTGAGATACCAGGGTAAAGACATGAGCTGTTGACGCAAGCAGTTTTGCCTTTTACTGGATGCCGCCCCATCTCCAAATCTTTCACGGAATTATGTTGTTGAAGAGTGCTTGGATCATTATAATCCCAAAACTTTACTGAGAGATATCCAGCTTGAGGCATAGTAAGCATCCCTTGTTTCAAGTACACCTCGATGTTGGCAAGATATCTATCTCTTCCAATGTTCCATCAAGTTTTTTGTTGTCTATCCTTCTGTCAACAGCAACGAACGCGCCAGAGTATGATTTCTGTAAGCGAGAAACAGCCGCTGAGTCTTGCCCAGAGGACAGAGGAGCGTTCGAATGTTGGAAGGTACAGACTCCAACCATCTTGATTTCTCAACTCATAATATAGATGAGGATTCAATGGATAATAAAGATTCCCTGTGGAGTGTGGATGGGTGAAGGTGCACCCAACAGCTAACTTTCCGCCGCTCACATCACCATGCACGAAAGTCGACGAGCTGACGAAGAAAGGAGGACACTCGGCACCTACAAGCTTTGCAGGTACAAGATTGTGACTTTTTCACTTCAAAGTAACTGGTCAACATGTCTTGGTATCAAAAAGCGCAACTCACTTGAGCGAGATCGGCGTCTCTTTTCTGGTGTGACTCATTGCCTTCGGGTTCCCCGGGCCCCGGCAAATCTTGTTCCCGGGGACTCATGTAATGAGTTCAATCTCAACCCAGCCCACTCTCGCCAGTCTGGCCCGCCTCCGAAAGCACACTTCGGTTATTCAGTGATAAATTTCCAAGGATATCGGGCAGATTTGATGAAAATGGTTGATGGATCTGGGCTTGACACATGTGTACGACACCGGTCAGCGTGTCGAGTGGCGCCTCAGCGGCTCGGCGAGGATGGACGACCCGAACCTTGTCGAAGCGGAGCGGATGCATGGAAGGACTCCCGCTCGAGTTCTAGCAGGTACTCGCGACAGCTGAGTGATGTACCTGGCTGAATCGTGGGTGTAAACCCAAAGCCGGACTGTGAGGTGCCAAGAATGGCCCCTTCTGTGTTCGAGAAGCAGCCTCTACTGCGTAGCGGAATGAAAATGAGCACCCGCTTTCGTAGCGGAAAGAATCCAACAGTGTTGGGTGTTTTAAAGACGTCGGTTGTGATTGTTTTGTGTCCAAGTTCCTCGAGAAGCTTTCTCGTTGGTCGTCAACTGAAGCGTGGCAACGCCGACCAGTGGAGGCCCAGCTCAGAAGACCAACTAAGCGGACACCGCGGACACTGCGGTCTCACAGATCCAGTCGTTCCTTCTGCAGACGGCTATCGTCGGCAACTCTCTCCACCAAAACTCATCCACAAGCAGCTTTCCGATGTGGAACTGAGAAGTCTCACTGTAACGGAAACAACATGGATATTGCGGATCCTTCAGTCCATGTGAGCCCACAGAAATCCCCGGATGGTTCCTTCCATCCCGGCGGGTCACTCGACAGACGCCAGCTGACCGACGAGTCTAGACCGTGCAGCGAGAGTCGTACGCGGAACTCTTACGCAGAGTCTTCTTGCAGACGGGACACACGGGAGGAATTCAGGGGCATTCTGCAGATGTGGAAGGGAGTATCTATGTGTCATTGTTTACCCTATGGGCTATGGAACATGGCATGGATGGATGGAAACATCGTACAGTAAGGTACCCTCGGAGGCGTGCAGAAAGCAACAGTTTCTGTTGGTACGGGGAATAGTTGTGGTAACCATCTACATTGGACGAAAATACGAAACTACTACATTGTGGTGATCCCGAACGATACCTCCAAGCAATAATCAAAAGATCGTGTATACTGATTCAGCACTCTCAGACACCGTCTCCTCTCTCAGCCAGAATTCACAAGAGAGTGCCGAAAGGAATCCCATAGGGCAGTCCATTACCTCGAGGCTTCTTCTGAGCTTTGCAAGAACTGCGTCGACATCAATTGAACAAGCTCCGGAGGCCGGACGGATATAATGCCCAATGAAACATGGAAGTTAAACTAATACCTACATCCAACCTTCAGCATGCTCAGATACAGCTCGGTACCTTGATGTCAACCCGGAAGCAATGCCAGTAGGCTACCACTTCGTTGAATGACAGCGGTGTCTTAATCTATCTCCTAGGCCCGGACACCATATAGGGGTTGCTAAAGGCAAAAGGATGAAATCTGTTATCGACGGAAAATAATTAACGTCCCGAGAACTACCAGACCACGACATATCCACGACATACTCAAGAAGTCACCGGATGAACAAGCAACAAAATTCGTGAGTTTGTGACGGAAAGATAAGTAGACGCGAATGATAATGACTTGGATAATCTCTCGGCTGAGATGCCAGTGTCTAGAGGTAGGTAGACAAACTTGAAAAAGATCATGATAACAACATCTTCCTTGATATCAACATCTAGATAACGTTCCTGCTGCACGACTGTTCATGGTGTATACCGTATATCCATTGCGAATAAACAAGTACGATTGTCTTGTTCGTGCTTTGGTTTGGAATATAGTACATGGTCGTTATTTAACAGAAATTACCACTGCGATGGTACAGGTAGACATCTTTGGCGCAAAGGAGAAGACCCAAACCTGAGGAGGTATAGCAAAGATCCCATGTGATATTCAACTTTTTACACTCGATAACAGGGGGATTTGTTGCAGAATCGGAAAGGTCAAACCTTGACTTTGCAACACAAATCCGCCCAAAGGCTTCATGATCTTCCTGGTCTTCGTTCGCAGGTAGTCTCACGAAGATGGCAGCTGCCAAGTTTATCGATGATCTTCTCGATACGATCGTCCCCCCATTGTTTACTTTCACTTCTTTCACTCCCCTCTACCCCTTTTGACCGAACTGGCAGCAGCTCCCATAAACTTCCCACTCACTTCTCCCAACCTCATATCACATGTCATCCACTCAGTCCATCATCCATTATTATCGTTGTTTACCTGCCTTG